GGGATTACTGGTAGTAAATGTTGTAGAAAAATAAGCCAATAACTTTTTAAGTATCCCTAAACAATCTCTGAAACAAGGGTGGACAATGAGCAACCATGCCTTAAATATGTCATCTGTAATTCTTAGAGATTCCAAACTTATTATCATAGAATAACCATTTTTTTTTCTGGTATATGTGGTAAAGCTAGTTTGTTCATCACTGGAGAGAATGAATTTTACATTGGCCCCCTTGCCACATATCAGTATGATAGCTGACATTCTCTTTATATAGCAGAGTCATGCAGATTCATAGGGAACATGGAATCATCCCTAAATACACACATAAAAACGCACACACATAGATACATACACACTCACTCATGTCCCTATATTACTTCTCGAAAGAAAGAAAGAAAGAAAGAAAGAAAGAAAGAAAGAAAGAAAGAAAGAAAGAAAGAAAGAAAGAAAAATTCCCAATGGAAGGAGACAACCTAAAAGATGAGGTGATGGCCTATTCATATAGCCTGAAGTTTGCATCATCTTCTTCCCCTCCCTTCTTCAAACTGAGCAGCTTTTTAGAGTCATGCAGCTCCAATTTGCTGATCCCCCTCCTGCTTCCTCCATGATCTCAGTTAATGGGTACCAAGGACAGTGCATTCTTGTATACAGATGAGTAAGGAACATATGAAATGCAGAGATGCCAGAAATGTGAATTAGATCTGAACTATTAAATCTTTAAGCTGGATTATGATTTAACAGAAAGGTCTTATGAACTTGATGTTGCTTTTTCAGGTCCATCTAAGGAAGAGGTTTATCTATGATTCCTCCTTCTTCTTCTCCTACCCCACCAAAGTGGTAGAAAAGTGAAAACCTAGAGCCCATACAGAGCCATAGAAAGAAGGGAGTAGCAAGCAGTTCCTATTACCCTCAAGAAAGGAGAAAACTTATAGGAGATTTCATCCTCTGCCACCATTATGTCTGACCTGACATACCAAATCATTCTCTGTCCTGCAAGGAAAGAATTCAATAACAAGGATAACTTGTTTATAAACCTGTGAGGCATGACCTGATTGCTGATGAGGTGTTTAAAGGGATTTTATCAGGAAATTGTTGACCATCTATCCTCCATATTCAAGATGGATGAAACAAAAAAAAATGGACCTGAACTAAATAAAATTTGGCTGTTTATAAGCCTGATGATCTCAGGGAAAGGGAGGCATGGGATTAGCATCATCCTTGGGATGTTACAATGTGGGTTCAACCCTTCCCTTGCTTTCTAGTCCCAGAATTTTTATCTAAGTGAAATCAGGTAGAACTGATCATTTTCAATTGCTTTCAAGGAGGAAGGAAGGTGCAAAATGGGCAGAAAATAATTATTTGGGCAATAGGTAGGATTATTAAAGGTGGTAGGACTTTGCCTCAGTGAAGATGGAAATCTAACTGCATTGTGAAGAGTCACAAATCCTTTCAGACCTTGCTAGTTAAACCATTCCTTTATCCATACCAAGGCTGTCTCTCTGCTGATTACATGCAGTGTAGTCCCCACAAAGTGTTAGGCCCAGGCTATTCAATTTGTTTTGACACGTCCTAGGAATGGCTCTGAAAACAAGGGAAAATTTCCTAATTCAAGGTGCTAAAGAACTGGAAGGCATTACTCATGGAAATCAGGGAATCTTCCTTTTGACATCTTTAAAAAAAGAATATATAGTATGGGATAGATTACATATTCATATTTCTCAAGGGAGGAAGCTAGACTAAATTGCCTTTCTAGGACATTCTAGCTTCATGATTCTGTGATGACAGAAAATGTGTGTGTATACATACATACATACATATATATATATATATATACATATATATATGTATATATATATATATGTATATATATGGAGAGAGAGAATTTTATAATTCATATAGTGTTTTCTTCCCAGTCACCTTTCAAAGCAGATAGGTAAAGTATTATTATCTTCTTTTGATAGGGGAAGGGAATAAGCACTTATATAGTGCCTGTTATGTGTCAGGTACTATGTATTATCTCATTTTATTCTCACAATAATCCTGAGAAATATTGCTGTTATTAGCCTCAATTTACAGTTGAGGACACTGGGCAAACAGAAGTTAAGTGACTTTCCCAAGGCCACATAGATAGTAAGTATCTGAATTCAGATTTGAACTCATGTCTTCTTGACTCCAGGCCCAGTGCTCTATCCATTGCTCCATCAGTTACCTCCATAGTAGGGAAACTGAGGCAGAGAAATGAAGTAACATAACCTTTATCAGACCCAGGATTTGAAGCCAGATTCTCTTATTATTTCTTTACACCACACCTTTATTTAATAATTTTAAAATGACTAAATGGTGGTGTGTGCTATAAAAAGGGAAGGGAGACCATGATGGCAATTTACGCAGTAGATTCCTTCTATTCCTGGAAAATGACATTTTCCATTTACTTTCAAAACTTTATTCAGTTAAAGTTCTATTGTTGCAGATGTGGGAAATGGATCATTTCTAGGACAATGAATTAAAAAAAGGTGGAGAGATACATTACATAAAAATTAATAAGCTCAGAGCTTTTATTTCTAGCCAAGGGAAGGATTGCCTTGTAATATGACCCTGCAAATCTCGCTAAAGCAGCATTATTCTGAAATTTCTTCAATGTCAGGAAATATTATTAAATACAGAAAACAAGAGCACTTGAGGCATTAGTCTCCTGATCTGCGTATCTTCCTGGAAACAGATAGATTGTTCTGTATGAGCAGGTTTAAAATATTGGCAGGGCCGAATCATCCTTTGAAAGCAAATAAATTGAGTTCTCTGCATTGTATTGCACAGGGGCTTTAAATATGGAGGTATTATCTGCTCTTCATTGACACTACAGATCCAAGGACACTTTGGGGAAGATGGAATGATTTCTCTCATGTCCTTTTCTGAAAATTTCTTTCTTCTACTGCCCCCAAATAACTAATGTGATGAGCACTCTGTTTTAGTTCTCTTAGCTGTCTTCTTCCACCCCAGAAGTGACTGCATTTCAGGGGCCAATGAAATGATTCGTGTGTGTGTGTGTGTGTGTGTGTGTGTGTGTGTGTGTGTGTGTATAATTGGTAACATTAAATTTTAAAAGATGACTTTCAATTTGATATTCTTGTTCATCCCAAAAGAATTGGATATCCTTAAAAGTCCTGTTTATTTGGGAATAATACATCTTTTTGTTTTCTACACATTTCTAGGACCACAGGGATTAGAACTGGAAGAGACCTCAGAGATCATTTAATTCAATCTCTAATACTGAAGTAATAGTTTTATATTAAACTTGTTTTAGACTCAGCAAAACAAATTATGCTATGATTTTAACTGACCTTTATTATGCTTTGTTTTAAATTAAGTAGTAATAGCCAAATGGTACCTGACATTGTTCATTTTTGAAAAAGCAACCACAATTCTAATTTTTAAATAAGGTGCTAATTATATAGAAAAGAAATACACTTAATTGGCAAAAGAGGTCTTTGTCTTCATTGAAAAAGAAGAAAAAAGTGAAAAATGTACAAAATGCAAATTATACTACCCCAGAAGGTCTTACGAGTTACAATCTCTAATTGCTTTTATTTGTTCATATTATTCAGCATGTCAGATTTACTCAAAGGTTTCTGGAATTGAAGTGACTGGTAGAATCCTTGAGTTAATGTTGGTAAATACTTTTAAGAAAGATGACCCTGGCTAAAGCAAATGTGCCCTGTGAACTTGTATTTGAACCCTAAACTACAAATCAGTAAGATGATGATCGAACTTACTTTAAGCAAGACAAAAAGAAAAAGAAAACATAGTCTCACAGGATATAGTTACATAAAATGCCTTTTCCATTTTTGCAGTCTATTACCCTTTACTATTATAGAAAAATAGTGTTATTGGCTGATTCCTGAGAAAGCACACAGAGTCTTTTACTCCCAATTCTGAGCCAGGCACTGACTAGTGGGAAACAAAGCCTGGCCATCTGCTTCTGAATATCATATCATTACTACTTGGACTATTTGAGCAAATATTTAAGAATCTCTGATTCAAACAAAGGTTTAAAATTCTAACGTCTGAAATGAAGCTCAAGTAACAATAAGGAAACCTTTTAACAGAGGCCACTTCCCAGGGAAAACAGCCTCCACTTAACTGTCACCATCACCGTTATTTTTTATTTGGGTTTGAGAGTTAGCATTTAATGTCTCCATCTTAAAAAAAATCAGCAAAACTTAATTCCCGAGTTTCTGCAGTAAATGCTCAGGAAGGAAAACAGGGGAGTGTGGGTGAAAATGACTCATCAGCCACCCCCACCCTTCTCCCTGATGAATCTTCATTGGAAAACCAGGGTAGAGCTTTTGTGTGTGTGCCCTAACATACATACATACATACATACATACATACATACATACATACATAATCATAACACCACTATGCTCCAGGCCAGTGTTAATCCCCTGAACTTAAACAGTCCGTAATGTGCTGAAAGGCATCTGGCTAACTGCTGGTCTTTGGCAAGTGCCCCATCTGTCTTTGCCTAGCTGGACGGTTTTCTCTCTTGCCTTCACTTTCCCTTTCTCCCAATCAGGCTTCTCTCTTTGTTTTAGGAAGAGTAATTCATCTGAACTTTCCTTCCATCCCTAAAAACTTGTGCTTCTTTTCCTCTGCATGCCGTGATCCGGGGCTTTGTCTGAATGACATGACATAGTTGAGGCGATTGTTGTTTCGGGGATGATGGTGATGGTGATGGTGATGGTGATGGTGATGGTGATGGTGATGGTGATGGTGATGGTGATGGTGATGGTGATCATCCGTGGGAGCACAGGCTGAGCAAGTGCCAAGAGAAGATAGATGAACAGCTGAGGCAGAGAGGGAACTGAAAGAATGAAGTGCAGAGGGATTGCAGATGAGAGCTGTCCACGAACAGAAGTGCTGAAACGCCGCAGCCATGGTTTTGCAACGGGGTGGAGGGAAAGGGACTGGGAGACGCTGCAAATACAGAAAAGAAAACGAAATACCTTCACACGGCTGCACAACCTTGCTTTGGGGTATGTTTATCTGCAGGTGTCCTCGCTGTTGAGCTGGGTGGGTGAGATCCCCTTTGCTGGCAGGTTCAGGCTCAGATCTCTCTAGAAAGCTGTGAATGAAAGCCCCAGCTCCACGGGGCTGTGATTTTGGTAGGAGGCGTGTGCGCTCGAGTCTCTGTCCTTCTACAGGAAAGCTTGCTTTCCCCTGGGTCCTAAAAACCTCCTAATCATTTTTTAGTACGTCCTGTTGGTAGACTGTATCTGTAATGTCTGGGACAGAGAGTACCCAGACTTCTCCCAAACGCTTTTAAAAAGCACTCGATAATACTCACCATTGGGGTCATTTAAGGATCTAGGATTCTGCCAACGTGTAATCAAAGTAAGCAATCACTGGGAGTTAGCTTGAATATCCTGGGGGCAGACAGAGAGGGACTCCTGTCATCCCTTAATAATATTCCAGTCTAAATCATGATTTAGTTAGTTGTATATACTAAGGTTGAAAAACAGTGTCAATACATGCAAAAAATTTTAGGGAAGAATAGGGAAACACGTGAACGTTGGGCACATGAAGATTTAATTAAGTAGCGTTTTATAAACATTTTATTCAAACATTATTTTAAAGTGACATATATTTCATTTAAATAACTTTAATGCCAACTTAACTACTTTTTCTACTGTCTGACTTATTACTCCTTTTTCTTTCATTCATCCACCCAATAAACATTTGTTAGGTGCTTCCCATGAGCAAAGCCATGCCAAGAGATAAAGAAAGATGCCAAAATAAATAGGACATAGTCCCTGCTCTCAGAGAGCTTGCAATTACGAGGATTATTCATGTTTGGGGTTTTTCGGGGGATGTTTATGATGCCTTTTCTACTTCTCTGCCATTCCATTTGTCACTAACATCAGGGATATCAAGAAAAAAATTTTTTAAAAGAAGAAATCCATTACTGTCAAAAATTTCACTTGAAATTTAAAGTGAATTTAAATAGCTTTGGTTGGTAGTTTTTACTTTCAGTAATTTTTTTTTTATTGTCTGTAGTGCTAAAAGGCATCTGTAACATCCCAGTTTGTGTAAAGTTTATGTGTGTATACTACATATGTATATATGTATATGTATATATAAAGTTTAAAGTGAATTTAAATAGCTTTGGTTAGTAGTTTTTACTTTCAGTAATTTTTTTTACTGTCTGGACACACACACAATGTGTGTGTGTGTAAAGTTTATGTGTGTACACTATGGATGTATATATGTGTGTATACATACACATATGTGTACATATACATATATACACATGTGTGTACATGTATATCCAAGCTGAGAGAGACAAGTAAAGTAGAGAGGTGTATCACAGTGCCTTTCAATTAGTGTTCTTAAATCACTTTGTCAACTACTCTCATTGTGGAGAGATACTTAGGAAGTACAACAGTGACTGTTTACTTATATGAAATTGAATTAAAATTTTAATGTACTTTGTTTCATGTAAAAAAAAATATAAACTTAAGCAGCAAAACCAATACAACTATAAACCAATCCTCACTGGTTTGCCTGAAATTTCCATTTTAATCATTCTTTTGAGTTATTGCTGTACTCATTAGTCTCATGTTGCTATTACAGCAATCCCTTAAAGAATTTTAAAAACTTGATCAGCAAAAGGGCATTATTATTTATATTACAAATCACTTATTAATCAATTTGCTTAATTTATTTTAAAAAGCATGATTATGTTGCAAGTAAAATGTTATCAATATTAATATTTAATATGACTGTAGGTCCTACATTAGCTCCTGTATTATCTGTGAGTATGATTGAAAGGCTTATTTAAGAATAACAGTGCTTTAAACAAAGTCGTCCCTCAATAAATATATGTAAAATTAAATTCAAGGTTTTTTTCTTTGAGTACACTTGCAAGATCTTCTTACAGGCTTGTCTTTTAAGCTTAAGGCAGTGGACAGTGACTTTCTTTGAATACAAATGTGTCACTTTACTACTGCACTTCAAATTGGTCTCTCTAGTATCCACTAGTTATGTCACACTGTATGAATTAGTGTTTCTCTTCCATTCCTTTCTTATTCTACACTTCAACTTGTCAGAGAATGGCTTTGCAGGTACCTGTATTCCAGGGTTATTGCAAATATCTATGTCAACCCCACTGGCCTGCCTGGAATTTTCACCTTAATCATTTTTTGTGCGTGTAGTTAAAACGCAAGCTGTTATCTGAGCAATGTAACACATTAAGCTATTATCACCCATTAACAAGCTAGACAGGATAGCAGAGTACCTGGAAGAAGTACAGCACCTCCCCCTACCTACCCACCCCTCACACTCCTCTAAACAGATCTAGAAAATGCACCAGATAATCCTGATGGGGAAATTCGTTCATTCAATAAACATTTGTTAAGTGTCTACTATGTGCCAGGCACTGTGCTAAGCACTGGGGACACAAAAAAGAGGTAAAAGATAGTCCCTACCCTCAAGGAGCTTACAATCTAATGGGGGATACAGATATTGACAAGCAACGTATACACAGGACAAATAGGAAATCGCTAGAAGGAAGACAGGATGTATGTTTGTAGGTGATGGCAAGATCAAAGGTATGACCATCTTTGTGTGTGGCTGAAGTGGGTTGGAGTAGCTCATGGGAGAAGAGTAGTTTGAGGAAATGTATGGTTAGGGTATTTGAAGGAGAACCAATATGTATGTTGAAATTACCTATATAAGGGCAAGAGTTGGGGAGGGAGAGAAAAATGGAAGGCAGTTATTGAATTCATTGAGAAAGGAAGGGGAGTGACCTGGGGATCTATAGACACAAACTACCAGAATTTTGATTAGGTAGTAGACATGAATAGTATGAACCTCAAAGAAAGACAAATTATTGAGTAAAGGAAGAAGAGAAAGAACCTAGCAGTGGCAATGAGGAACAAAGAATATTCCAACTCTTCTGCCTTGAACAGTAAGCTGAAAAGAATGAATGAAGATATATATATTAGTGGAAAGAATGAGCAGATAGGTTGTGTCATCAGGGGAAAGAGGTAATAGATGGTAGGAATGGGAGAAGAATAGGTTTAAGATGAAGGGAAGCTTGTTTCCTAGGACAGACATTCCAGAGGCCACAAGGGAAAGGGTGGATGGATTATGGATGAAATTTTGTAATGAGAGGGTTGAGAAGGATGGGAATGAAGAATCAGGTAGTAAGAGGTGTTGAGAGCTATTTCAAGGATGACCTGTGGGAGTTCAGAGCCCCTGGAATGTGAAGCATATGACCAAGTATAAGAATGTTCATCATTGAGTGGAAGGCACCACTCCTCTACCCTCAAAGGACAGGTGCAACAAGAGTTTGGACATTTGAAATAAAAGGAAGGTTTGCTCTTCTTTGCACTGCAGGTTCTCCAAATACTGTTCAGGAGATTGGGCTGGTACCAGGAGATAGAAGATGCCTTGTGCTGGTACAGATGGAAGTGGTTGCTTTGGGGTGGATGGAAAATCACTGCACAGGCTCCTAGAAGCTTTCCTCAGGGGACATGTAGCCACAGCAGGAGATGGAAGGCTCAGGGTGCTAGTGCATCTAAGATCTGAGGTCTTCTCACCTGAGAAGGCTGGCTATGAGGCAGCAGCTAGAAGTGGTAGATTCCCTGCACAAATGGAACTGCCTGCCCATGCCCCTAGCAGTCTTTCCTCAGGAGACATGCTGCCCCAGCAGATGATGGAAAGGTCAAAGTGCTAATGCACTCATCATCTGAGAAAATCCAACAAAAAGCATGGTGAGTCATATTTCCAGCTGAGGCTATTATAAAGAGTCATACAGAGAGGTCTATGGACCCAGAGTATAGGGTCTGGTCAGAAGCAAAGTGCCAGAACACTCTAGCACAGGTAGGGATTATGGTCCCTAAGAAGAGATCCTAAATAACTTATTTAGGATGTAGGAACAGGTGAGAAGATCCAGTCCCATGTCACAGACCAAGAGCAGACTAAGGAGGGGATCTATACTCAGGGATCAGGAGCAGTCCAAGCCCTAGGCAGCTAACCTAGTAAGAAGGATGTTCAAAAGTAAGAGAAGTCATGTGCCTTGGACTCCAGAATCAAGATATGACCTCAGTTCCAGCTTCCTGCCCAGTCTGAAGCCTGCAGATGAACAACCAGGGCAGGAATCTTGGACCAATGCAAAGCTTGCAGTTCTATCACTCTGAACTAGCACAACTTCCAAGCTGGCTGAAAGAAGCTAAGTAGCAGTTTACTCTTGCTCAAATCCAAATCCAGGTCAAAACTCACAGAGTTCAGACCAAGGGGGCACTAATCATACTTCTGCCCCAGATCAGACCACTTTGGGAGCACTGAAAGCTTTCAGATCCCTAGCCTGAACTTTCCTTGACATCTTCTAATAACACAAATGTTCTTATCCTCCCATTCCATCAGGGGAAGTCTTTATAATTAACAGCTTGATATAAAAGTTACAAAACCTTGCCCAAGCAAAAAAAAAAACTCCCCTAAAATTAGAAAGGACTAAATCAAAGCCAATGACTCTACATGACAACAGGAAATATTAAAACAAATTCAAAAGACTTTAAAAAAAATAATATATAAGGCATACCATAGCAAAAAAAACTGGTATGTAAAATAGATTGAGGGTAAGAAAGAATCGTTAAACTCTCTGAAAGCCATGATAGAAGAAGAAGAAGAGGAAGAAGAAGAGGAAGAGGAAGAAGAAGTCTTAACATCATATTTCAATAAATTTTAAAAGAAAACTGCCCAGATTTCTTGGAACCAGAAGGTAGAATGGCAATATAAAGAACCCATAGATTATTTCTTGAAAGAAATGCCAAAATAAAAACTCCAAGGGACATTATAGTCAAAATCCAGAAATTCTAGAACAATTAAAGAATACTTCAAGAAATCATAAAAGAAGGAACATAAGTATCAAAGAGCCACAGTCAGGATCACACATGGTTTAGCAGCCACCACTATATAGGATGAGACAGTTTGGAATATATTATTCCAGAAGACAAAGAATATAGGCTTATATCCAGGAACAACTTATCCAGCAACACTAATTGTGATCACACAGATGGGGAAAAGCAGGCTGCTAATGAAATGGGGGGACTTCCAAGCAGTCCTGATGAGAAGTCTAGATTTATATAGAAACTTTGAACTTCAAATGCAGGAGTT